TGTATCCCCTTCCCTGTTGAGCTGTGAGCCGCCCTGAGTCCCCTTCGGGGGAAAAGGGCAGCATATAAATAAAATCAACATAACATAACATAACATGTACTGATTATCTATCTATCTATCTATCTATCTATCTATCTATCTATCTATCTATCTATCTATCTATCTATCTATCTATCTATCATCTATCTATTTATAGATACCCACCCACCCACAGTCCATCTTGAAGTGGCTAAGATTTAGAAACACTGTTCCAAGGAGATCTAACTCTCTACAAACTTCATTAGAAAGAGAGATAGTCAAACACACAGATGGAATCGTTAAGCTTGTATAGAGAATATCTGCTTGGAACATTGTTTCTAAATCTTAGCCTTCAAGATGGACTTCAACTCCCAGAATTCCCCCCTTAGCATACTTACCTTTGACTATATCTTGAATGCACTAATATCACAGCCAGCAATTGCTCTCCTATACACTCCCTCAAACATCCCTTCAAACCTTCAAATATGGACTAGCATAATGATTCCTCTTCTGGAAAGGGTTCACACTTCATACTATGATATCCAAATCCTGGCCAAATCCTGCTAGGACAGCTCTTGACCCGAAAAAGATTTTTTTACATAAAATCTTTACAAAAAGGTGCTTACCTAAACCATATTTATAGCCACAATGACCAGGTTCCCATATTCCAAGCCAAAAGGAAATCACATTATGGCTTATCATGTTTGAGGAAGCCATTTGACGTGGTGTAAGATACGAAGCCCACATTGTAAGGTGCTGACCGATTATGAAAAAGCTGATTGCCACAACACAAACAAGACTTCTCTCTATCTGAAATAGGCTAAGAATTAGAAGCCTCTCGTTATGATTTTGGGGTCACTCCTCGGGGAAATAAACTAACCCAGAGGTCCTCCATTGTGCCTCAATAAACAACCCAGAACTTGTGNACAAAAACTTGTTGTAACCAGCTGATATACTTTTTTATAACATAAAAAAAAAGGAAGCATAGTGAAGCAAAGTGTATCTTTCCAATTAAAATATTCTCTACCTGTTGATACTCCTTCTTCTGAGCATCAAGTTCCACCTGCCGCTGCTGGAGCTCTTTGTGCTCCTGGTGAAGCTGCTCTGCTCGTCGGCTTAACTCCTCCTCCTGAGCCTTAAGCTCCGCCTCAAATCGTTGGAGCTCTGCCTCTGAGTAGATCTGTGTTTCTTCTACTGTCTAGATAGCAGGAGAAATGAGAGAGAGAGAGAGATCACTGCCTTAAGAAGTACAAGAACACCAAATTTGTGAGCCACCTGGAGTCACATAACATGATGTACAAATATTTCTGAGCAGGGAGAAATTAGGATATTATGATTCTTGATGCAGTTCTTAAAAAGTATCCTCTCTGGATACTGCAATTTCCATGTTGGGCAGCAACCTGTTTTGCTACATTAATTTTGGAATAATTCAAATCGATCGTTGACTTACCTGAATGGTCCTTCTATGTGCGCTGCGAGGGGAATCCAATCATGGGTTAACTTTGTCCATTATCCTAGACCTAGAGACTGAGTTACATAATTGTTAACCACGCCTCCTCTGACTGGGATAGTTCAATTTTGTATGAAGGCTCAGCCGATCCAAGAGAAGCAAAGGGATCAGCAGACAAGAAGGTAAGTAGGTAAGTAAACACAATGCATGCGCGTGAGTGTGAGTCAGTGCCAATGCCCGAACCAGCCAAAGCCAAGGGCGGGTTTGGATTTCCCCCGCAGCGCACATAGAAGAACCATTTAGGTAAGTCAACGGTAGTTCTCCTGTGCGCTGCTTGGGGAATCCAAGGGTTCACTGACAAATGCGCGCTCAACAAAAGCACACCAACAAAACCGCGGGGAGAAAAGTGCGAGTTCGAAATCGCGCTGACGAATGAACACAGAAGCGTGCCGACAACAGCGCGCCGAAAGAAGCGCGCTCTAAACCTAACCCTAAAGGTAACCCTAAAGGTAACCCTGAACCTAACCCTAACCCTTACCCTAATGGCGCTTCTGTCGGCGCTCTTCTGTCAGCGCGCTTCTGTGCTCATTCGTCGGCGCGCTGTTGACATTGCGGTTTTATCGCCACGGTTTTGTCGGGCGCACATTTGTCGGGTCACGGAATCCAAGCATGGAACATGCCAAAGCAATGAGTTTCAAGGGGGGGGGCGTAGGCTGGTCAGGGGCCGTGGATGATGATACAACCCTCTGTAAGACACGATGCCCAAAGGAAGCCTCCGCCGAGGCATATATGTCCACTTTATAATGACGGATGAAGGGCGATAGTGATGACCAGGTCGCCACCCTACATATGTCGTCCACCGAGGCCTGCATCACCCATGCTGCTGTGGTGGCTGCACTCCTGGTGGAATGGGGAGTGATGTGCCTGGGTGCCAGTTGAGCTTGGGATTCGTATGCGAGGGCAATACACGCTTTCAACCAGTGCCCAATGGTGTCCCATGGATGCCAGCTGGAAAGACACAAAAAGGGCCTCTGATCTGAATGACATTGTGCGTTTCATACAGCGATGGAGCACCCTGTAAATGTCGAGATGGTGCTACTTCCATTCCTGAGGATGTGACGGATGAGGGCAAAAGTCTGGAAGAATAGGTTTTTGCGCCCTGTGAAACAAAGAGTTAACTTTTGGCAGGAATGCCAGGTCCAATAGTAAGATGACTCTGTTTTGATGGAATAAACAGAGATCCTCCTGTACTGAAAGTGCTGCCAGTTCTGAGACTCTTCTAGCGGATGTAATTGCCACTAAAAAGACAGTTTTGAGGATCAACAATCTAAGACTGACGGTACGAATGGTCTCGAAAAGCTGTCGTGAGAGCTCTAAGTACTAGGGGTAAATCCCATGTAGGGTAACGGTGGACGGTGGTTTGAGGTTAGATGCACCCTTCAGGAAGGACCAGACCCTCGGATGGTGAGTGAGGGAACGGCCCTGGACGCCTCCAACCACAGTTGACAATGCTGCAATCTGCCTATGTAGAGTGCTGGGCGATTGTAAGAAGCCCGATTGTAAGAAGTCTAAATCCCATGGAACGGAAGCCGTAAGTGGGTCCACAAATACTGACCGGCACCACCTGCAGAAGGCCTGCCAGGTAGCCTCATAAATCCGTGTTGTGGCGAGCTGCTTGGATCATGGCGATGACCTTGTCAGAGAAGTGCTGACGGATCAGGATCGCCTGCTCACGTGCCACATGGCTAATTGTAGTAGCTGAGGGTTCAGATGGATGAGAACCCCCTGCGAGAGAGTTATCTGGTCGTCTGGGATTCTCCAGGGTCAGGAAATTGAAAGATGGACCAGGTCGGTGTACCAAGGGCGTCTGAGCCACATTGGCGCGACCAGGGGAACGTCTGCCTGCTCCAACAGAACCTTCTGAACATTCCTGCGCCCGCCAGAGTCGCAAGGAACCGTGAGTTCTTTAATTTCAAAGGAAAACGAACACCAACGATCCGCAATCAAAGTGTGTACCACAACAAAAGGAAAATCTGAGTCTAATGAGTTAATTTTGTCTATTATCCTAGAGGAGAAAAATTTTGCATCTCTTTAAGGCTGGACTGAATTTGCGTATCTAGAATGAATTTGCTCTTACCTCCATTCATCTTTAGGTGTTCGTTCCCCTGGAAATATTCCTTTGGGATTATCAGGCCTCATAAAACAAGTGATTTCTCTGCTATAAGATTATAAAGATAGCCTTCCTGGATTATCCATCTAATCCAGCACCCAGAGGTGAAATTCTCCCGGTTCAGCCGAACTGGTAGGGACGATTGTCATTGGTTCTACGAACCAGGACTTTTAAAATGGTTCTGTGGCTTGCGTGGCTCAGCTGTAAGCCATGCAAGCTTCGGAAATTTTTTTCCTGTTTTTTAAAGCATTTTTTTCCTGCCTATTCGCCCGAGCTGCAGGAAAAAATGCTTTTAAAAAGTGTGGAAAAGTTGGTCATGCCCACCCAGTCACATGACCACCCCCAAGCCATGTCCACAGAACTGATGGCGAAAAAATATATATTTCACCACTGCCAGCATCCCTATAGAAGCCAAATGGCCAATCTACACTGGGAAATTTAAAATGTGATAGGGATGTGCAAATGACCTTAAGATGCAGGAAGAGGCACTTCAGTTTAGACAATGGTCAGATAAGAGATATCTCAGCCCACTGAAGGACTGGATGAAGAAGGCATTTCAGAAGGGACCCTCCTTATTTCTCTGGAAAGGGAAGGCAAGGGAGGAGTACTTTCACGCTTGCAAAACTCTGTTACTGTAACCTTACAATAATAATAGTGTTAAGACTCATGGTTTGGGTTTCTTATCTAGACTACCTTGAAGTGATAAATACCAGCTAAGACAGCATGTTGCTGTCCATCTTCTTTATTAATCAATATTAGCAATAGCAATAGCAGTTAGACTTATATACCGCTTCATAGGGCTTTCAGCGCTCTCTAAGC